ATAGATAGATAGATATATGATAGATAGATAGATAGATAGATAGATAGATAGATAGATAGATATAAGATAGATAGATAGATAGATAGATAGATAGATAGATAGATAGATAGATAGATAGATAGATAGATAGATAGATAGATGTTCATACATGTTCATACATAGATATAATCAGATGTTATTATAACAAGCCTGTGCAGTTTGGAGGGCGAAACGAAACTCACCATCTAACCTTTTTACAAGTCTAAACACACAGATCAATCTCCATAAAACATCCCATTCATTAGATACAGCCGCTCCTTGTTACATTTTTTCAGGCATGTTTTGACTTTTCCTGTCCTGCGTTAGTCAGAAAAGTAACTTCCACAGCTGATTGTGGTCTCTGTCTTGTCTGAAACCACCTTACTTTCCAGCCTGCATAATCAAAGCTCTTCTCTATTGCCTTCATGCATGAGTAGAAATTTGCAACACCTGTTTCTAGCATGGAAGCATCTGTTAGGCAAGTATGAGTTGGCACTGATGGAGGGCGGTTTTTGGATGTGGCAGTCGTGAAGTCCTCTCATCATGTGTATTCCTGTACACTCTTTATGCTAATCTGTAGTTTGATCCCAGTGAATGCTCGTTTAAGTGACAGGTGTCTATAATAGGAAGTGCTGTTTCTTAATTTGGGAAGATACATGCTCTCCTGAGGCCTGCGGTTAGGGACAGCTCGCCGTGATTAGGCCCGGGCAGCTCACAAGGCTGCGCAGCGTTATTAGCAGGCCAGTCAATCCACAGTGGAAATCAAAAGCAGGGACTCAGGAAATAGGTGTTGAGTGAGGTCACATCCCAATGAGGCAGCACGTGCACCAGGTCGGGAGAAGACAGGACGTGTACCATGGGAAATGGGATTGTGCAGAATCCTTTTGGACCACATGGGTACCAAGAGCTGGATTTCTACTGCGGTTGAGTCTGAATGCACTAATCTTTGTGGGATGGTTGGAAGAAAGGTGGTCTGGAGGATTTTGGATGCTAATTCAGTAGGGAGTGCAGGTGTTACTGTGCCCTGTTGGCCCTGGTTTGGGTCATCTTCTCCTCTGCAACCTCTGTGGACGCATGGAGGATGGCGTGATGAAACAGATGAGTGAGGACTGACTCTCTCCTCCTCTGCTACATTTGCTTAGTCCCAGTCGAGAAACCTGCCAGGGACATTCTACCGAAAGGACTGAGCAAGATATTAGATTGACAAGAAAGAAGGAGTGGGGAAGAGGCGATTTGCCTTTTGGAAAGCTGTCCCACTAACAGAACTCAACCGAAGGCTACAATGTATATTCACCTTTTTTCAAATGGAGTTTTTGTCGACTGTCTTTACGGCTAAATTGATTATTCTATTCTTTGGATTGTTCACGTTGTGGATTGCAGACTTGGTAACTCATCTGGCTTTCTCCCTGTGTTTCTTCTTTCTTTTCCATCCTCCACCTAATCCCCCCCACTATCCCCGCTATCCTTCTGCATTCACCTACCTTCCCCCATTCCTCCCGTCCAATGTCTTTCTTCCTGTCAGGGCCAAAGACATGAAGAATCGGCTGGCTTTCCTGCGGAGGAGGAATGAGTCCCCAGGAAGCAACCCAGCCGGGAAGTTAGACAAATCTATGAAGTCAGTCAAGTAAGTGGCCACTTCCTGACAGCATGTGTATGTGGGCGTGAGTGCGAGACAGGTTTGTGGATCTGACCCTGTGTTGAAAGGCAGACATGTGGGCAGAAGGAGAGACAGGAGCATCCTTGTGGTGTGGCATTCAAGAAGTTTTGAATGAAAACACCATGATAAAAAAAGAGGATGAAGCAGAGTTTATTATGTTTTTATAATTAGCTGCCTTGCATATTTTAAGATAATATATTTTTTTTTAAGTTCAGTTGCATGAATTATACAGTGCAGCATAATCTGATCTGTGTTGGAAAATTTCATCCAGAGAATTTTATAAACACATTTTTTTTGTGTAATGCTTTATAAAATCTGTAGACATAATTGGCTCAAATGATGCTTTCATCTGTTTTGTTTCTCACTCCAGGGTCTATGTTAACTCTAAAACATACTGCCATTGTGCTTACACTTTCTTCAAAACAACAGACCAACAGAAAGTATTTCCTAATGTGTAATTTTCATAATTTCAAGTCTTTAAAATCCAAAGATACAGAAATACCTAAATTGCTATTATTCTTGGCTCTACTGCATAATAACAAAAACAGTTTTCCACAATTAAAAACTCAAGTGGTTAAATGTTGTGGCCTAAAATGTGGATTCCAGTCAGGGGAAAAATGTTAAAATGCATTCATTGTAAGAATGAAAGGCACCAGGGGGCATGCTCAATCTGTCAGTGGTGGGAGGTTCCTAAATCCCTGAACACCTCCTGATTGGCTTTCTGAAGCTCCTTCCCCCTTTCTCCACTCTGGCATTGAGAGGGATTATAAAAGCCACCCCCTCCACAGAGAAGCAGACAGACTCATGGCTTAAGGTGCTGCAACTTCCCACCATCCACAGCTGAATGTGTCAGACTAAAAGGGAGAGAAGCATCAGGCAGGATCCTTCTGCTCACACATTTCCACTCATCTGACTAGAGTAGCCTTCAATCCTGCGGATGGGTCACACAATGAGAAACCTGGCTGAAATGGGCTTATTAAAGAACCGCTCTGCTTTCATCTGTAGGCCCACCCCAGAAGAAGCACTCAAATGGGGGGACTCGCTTGACAAGCTGCTGACGCACAAATGTAAGTTTTTATTTTATTTTACGCTTCCTTACTTAATTACTATTCAAATAACAAGTGTGATTAACCACTATGCATGGCCAAGGGGGCAGGGAACTACAGATACACAAGGATTACATGCTCATACTGCTGATCTGAGTGGGCAACCTGCTGCATAATTCCTTAATCCAAACACACAAAGTCCAGAGTTTACAAGACAACGTGTGTTAAGATCTTAAAAATCTAGTTTGCCCTGATTCTGATCTTTCTTTTGTAATTGACACAAATCCACTTCTACATCTGTTTTTCATTTGAGGCTTTTTGGCCCCTTTATTCCCCCTTCTTCTCATTTCCTCTCCTCCACCTCTTACCTCACTAATGCTCACCAGAGTGAGGTAAGAGATGATGGCCTGCTTCAGTGCTGCTTATCAGCATGGGTGATTCATGGGAGCGGAAAAGTGCAGAGAGGAGCAGTGGGTGGACTCGGTTCCTGCTATTCTTTGCCTTGGATGCCCTCTTCCTTAAAACATTAGCCGGGCAGAAACTTCAAAAGGGCCAAACTGATAATTAAAACAAAACACAAAACCAATCCATCTCGTTGCTCTGCATCAGGCTTTTATAATGAATATGAAGAAGTTACAGAATTGATTAGTGTTTTAGACTTTGATAGGTTCTACCCTGCTACGTTTTTTTTTCTCCCCTCACTATATTAAAACCACATGACTCAAAAGGCAGAGCTATTTTAGGAGCTGAAACTCTAAGGAGGGCTTCAATGGTGATGTTACCATGGCACTTTTGTCAACTCTTCTCTGTTTATTTTCCTCCCCTCTGCTCCCTCTCAGATGGTCTGGCAGCCTTCAGAGCTTTCCTGCGCACTGAGTTCAGCGAAGAGAATCTGGAATTTTGGCTCGCATGCGAGGAATACAAGAAAGTGAAGTCGCAGTCCAAGATGGCCTCAAAAGCCAAGAAAATCTTTGCTGAATACATCGCTATACAGTCTTGTAAAGAGGTAAGCGAATGGATTTGGTTGCTTCAAAAAATCCTTATTATTGCATTTTTTTTTCACTTTGCTTACAATCTTCTTACTGATTATTACCTGCAGGTGAATTTGGATTCATACACTAGAGATCACACTAAGGACAACCTGCAGAATGTGACGCGCTCCTGCTTTGACTTGGCTCAGAGGCGGATATACGGGCTGATGGAAAAGGACTCATACCCCCGCTTTCTGCGCTCGGAACTCTATTTGGACTTAATTAACCAAAAGAAGCCCAGCGCTACATCGACATCATCCTCCTCATAAGAGAGGAGGAGAGACATAAGGAGAAATTAAAGAGAACGACAGACAAAAATGGGCAGACTTGAAAACAAAAAAACCAACGGTGGTTGGGATGTGAGCTTCATTGTTTGCCTTTTTGATTTAATCTTTATGTGTGTATGTATGCCATCCTGTTCATTAGGATTTTTGTTTTGGTGTGAGAGGAGATAACGCAAAGTTATGGCACTGCAATGGAATGTAGTTTAACAGATGGATGAGTGATTGGATGAATGGATGTTTAAATTTCACAGAAGCCCACAAAAAAAGGGCTGGAGCAGGAAATGGACGCATGTCTGATCACTGTTTCTGATGTGCTTTTTTACGCTAAAGACACACACACACACACACAAAAGATGCATTAGCTCATGTTTTTATCCAGTTGTACTGGTTAAAAAAAGGGGGGTAGCTGACATGAAGACAGTCCGGTACTGTTTTTGTCACTTTTTCCCTTCATCTCCGAGCTTAAACCTCCTTCTTGCTTCTGCACATTCTCTGTGAACTTCATAGCTGTTGGTACGATTAAAAGGTCATTTTCTTTCCCGCTCTATCATATCTTTGGAAAATGGAGGGAAGAAAAACCAGGTGTTTGAATCCTAATAACTTTTCCATTCACTCGAAGTTTCTATGTATGGAATCAACTCTGCTTTTTCAAGACTATTTCAAGACTGGACACGACATCGGAGACGGATTAGCAAAGAAGAAAGGTGGAGGAAACACAGTTGTGCTGAAACACCAATGTGAGAACTTCTCCCATCCAAGCACAAACATGAAGCCTGAATTGGACAAAGAAAAACAAAAACGACTTGCTTCCTGCCTCCAAAGACTCTTTACTAAAAGGAACTGAAAATCCGGAAAACAAAACACATCTCTTTTAACATTGTAGCTCATTCTGGACTAATCAAGAAGCATTCTCAGGACATTGCTTTTATAGGTATCAGTTTGGTTGATCTTCTTCACTGTTACTGGTTTTTCTATACACACTTGTTATACTTTTTTCCCTACATGCTTAAGGGATTCAATCTGCACTCCCCTGTCCTACTGCGCTACGCACAAAGGTTGCTCATTTCCTAGCTAGAGAAAAAAAGAAATTTTATGTGTACAAAGCTTTGCCTATTTATTTAGATTAACTTGCTGGATGCTTCTAAAGACACACTTTTACATCCTTTAAAGCACTCCCCCTAAAGTGTTTTTCTTTTTTCCTAACCACCAAACAGGTCCAATGCTGTCCTGAACTATTAAGTGCAATATTTTTTGTATTTTTTATCTTATTTTATTATCATGTTTTATTTTGTTCATTTATTTAGATAAATTCAAATGTTAAATGATGACAGATCAGCTTGAGCTCTGCATTACCTTTTATTTGTTAAGAGAAACATACGTAGAGCTATAAGGTTGACTTAACATAAACTTAAAGAAGCATAAGTAGTTAAGATTTAAGTGACTGATTCTGTGTGTTAACACCCCAGCAGCAGGCAGCTGGGGAAGTAATGGTTGTAAATATAATTCTTTAAGAAAATATGTGATAACACATTAAAAAAATAAACAAAAAGAAACAAACTGGTCTCTGTTGGTATGAGTAAGGGACCCAGATGTATCTATGTAAATACAAGAGACTCAAAACTATAAGATGACATGTATTGTTAAAAATAGGTTAGAGCAGGTGCGATCTGCTCTTCTTTTTTTTTTCCCGGTCATACACTGCTTGTGAGGAGTTTTCTGAAATGCATTTTATCATTTTCACTGTTTACAATTCGAAATGCATCTCCTATGATAGCAAGTGAAAACAGTAGAGTACATTTGGTGTCATTGCTAATGAGAAATAAACCAAACAACTATTAAGTGAACTGTCTGGTGTCAAGTTTCTTTTCACTACACTGGCAGGAGCTCCAGCATATTGTTAAGAATTTTAAAAATATAAGTTTGGAATAAATGGCAGATGTAGTGTCTACTATGACACTAACTGCTTCTGTTCCTAAGGTTTTATTGGTTTATTATCGTATGGGTCAAACAGTGAGAAAAAGGGGTATTATGAATACTTCTAATTATGACTTATCTGGGCTTCAGACAATGGCCTTCCAGATGGAGTAAGTATGTGTAATTTTGTGCTTAAATGAAAGAAGTGTAATTATCTGGTAATAAATCTCCAAAGATTATTTACTAGAGTTTAGCATAAACGGAAGCAGTGCAGCAAACATTTATTCTCATTCTAGTTTTTTTTCTACTGGCTTGACAGTTTTTTAAATGACCTTGGAGATTTATTCAAGAAAAGCAAAAATAATATGAAATAATATTTCATAGTATGGTACTAAAGGGTGTATTTTAATGACCAAATGTCATCACTTTGTTTTTTTTTTACCTTTTGTGATTATAATTTATCGTTTGAATATACACATATGTGAAAATCACAGTTATGTGTCTTATTTTGCTAATAGTAAAACAACCATTTGAAGGTCCCAGCAATAATTTATAGATTATGGTCTACACATGTGGACAATATTCCCAAATCAAGCTTCGGAGAGAAAAAAAACAAAGCATGGAGAATTATATGTTTGTTTTAGAAAGAATAGAGAATAAAGTGTGTTTCAATGGTTTTATTCTTTACCTTGCACACATTTTGAATAGCATTAGAACATTTTTTGTAGCTATGATCTTGTACGCCAAAATTTAAATGATTTGAAGTGAATTCCCAATTCCATTAAAATTGGCCTTATCTGTCCATCAAACTGACACAGAGTGTCTCATAACGTACAATCAATTAGAACTTTGAGTTCAACTGCTTTAGACAGTTTCACTGCACTTCTTTGCTACCATTCATTAAAACGCATATTAATGACCAAATAATGAATGAAGACCCATATTTACTGTTGGCTGTTTTAGATCTTGAAACAAATCTTCAGGCTCATCCTCATCAACTCTGGTAAGAGGCAGGAATAGAACGTGTCACCAGGCCAAGTGTTGATGCGGTGGTTAGAGGATGATGAAAGGAAGTATTAGGATGTATGTTTGGGGGTTGGTCAGTCTGAAATGAAGCTGGATAGTGTAGTAACTGCACCTAATCTTCTTTACCAGCCGCCATCTGTTCTGACAGGCACTGTTTCTTTTATCACAAGAGTTTCTTGCATGTGACCGTGACCGTCTCTGGAGAACAAGCGAACCATGCTTTACAATAGTACTGCATTTAGGCCCAATTGCTTTGCCATATGCCTTTGTTCAAGCTTCCTTCCTTTCCTGTCATATGTGGAAACCATATCAAAGTTTGTGTCATTGTTTTTCAGCTCAGCTTTCATATGTTCAAACTTATGTTTCCTCCCAAGATCACTTATGTCCGCATGTTTTAGATGTTGCTGTTAGCGTTTCCTCTGCCTTCTCATTTGGTATTTTGCTTGAAATAAAAACAAAAGTCTTTATTTGTGAATTTTCATCAGTATTTTACCGGATTCGGTGGCTTTCCCACACTAGCCTTTGATCAAAACAGACTTCAAACAGTAAGATAACACAAGTTAAAACAAACAATACAAAGATAAGATGAGGATCACAAATATTCAGAAAAAAGTTGCACTAAATGGTGTTCGGCTACAATGTACTTAAAGAAACTGGGGGTGTTGACTTTAGGTCATGTTTTCCTATTACCAAAACATATCCTAGTGTAAAAAAAATTAGGATTCAAAATGATTTCAACCAGTGTACCATTAAAAAATACATTCATTTTCAGGTTAATAACAATCAAACATGTAGTACCGGTACCTAATAAAACACAAGACTTTCCATTAACAGAAATGTTTTACTTTACTTTTGTAGCTCTTATTTTTTAAACTATCATTCATTGAAATAAAGCATTTTAAATTACACTTCTGTGAGGTCTTTTTTTAACTATTATATTAAACATTACAACATATTTTTCTGAAGTTGTGAGGCACGTTTAAAAATGCTGCATTGTCTCTTGCATAAAAAATGTGTAAACATGAAGAGGCAAACATAAAGAGTAAACATTTAGCATTCATTCAATGGAGTCAACTAAATGATTACATAAAAATGTAAAAAAGAAAATCATATTTTAATACAATCCCTTTAATTCTGTGGCATAAAAGTATTTCAAAAAATAAGGTAACAGCTTGAAGTCTCAAACTCATACACATCTCTACACAAATAAAATCATGCTTAATTTAGTTAATATCAATTAGAGAACTGACTTGTCCAATAAGGTTTATTCCAAATGTTTGCTTTTTAAAACCCTGCTTTGCTCTGGCTGCATATTTTGGGTCATTTCTATTATCACTCACTCAATAGATTTGTTGAAACCAGCTGGATTTGAAGGCAGTATTTCTCTCAACACCTCAGAAATCACCTGGCTGTTGTGAGAGGATTTCTCTTCTCCACTGAAAGAATTCTGCCATCATTCTCTATTGTCGTCCTTTGTGAACATCCAGGTATTATTGTGGTGCTAAGATCACCAGTGCTTTCTTTCTCTCTCAGGATGTAGTAAAAAAGAAAAAAAAAGTCTGTTTCTTTAAACTGCAGCAGTTGTTCTGGTGTTTCTTTTCTGTTTTTGCAGCTTAAGTAAAGCTTATTTCACTTCATCAAGAGCTCCATTGACAACATGTTTATGTAAAAAAAAAACACCTTAGATTAACTGCAGTATTTGTGTCTGCTTACTTGATAATGACCAAAGAAAGGAATAGCCAATTATGCCTGCTTATGAAATATTTTTGAATGTATTACTTTTGAACACATTGTCATAAGCAGGTACACCTAACTAACTAACTAACTAACTAACTAACTAACTAACTAACTAACTAACTAACTAACTAACTAACTAACTAACTAAATAAATAAATAAATAAATAAATAAATAAATAAATAAATAAATAAATAAATAAATAAATACAAAACAAAATTTGTGTCAGGGTCCAAATATATATTGACCTAACTGTCAATGTTCGCGTCTCATATCAATGTTAGTGCATGAACAGATAATGGATAAAAAAAAACAACAGCCTTTTTGTGTCATTAAGCTAGGAAATTGGATCTGCAGTTTTTTTTTTAATTTTTTTTTTTACAGTTTTTGCAGCAGTATATTGCATATACTGCTGACTGTTGTGTTGTGCTGTTTTGGTTATTCATATGCATTACCACTTAAGGATTAGAGTAAGGAAAAGCTTTTAGCAGCAAGAAAAAGCAGGTATAAATTAGAGGACTGAAGGGATGACATCATCTTGGATTCAGCGGAGCATCACTTGTCTCCCATAGACTGTTTCAACAGAAAAGCGGCTTATCTTGATTAATCATTAGGTCTCAGAACAGCCTATCCTTTCAACTTTTAACAGGTTGCAAAAGAAACACCAAATCTTCCCAGCTGCACTTGCTGACTCATTGAATTCTTTAACCCTGAAGGGTTCAGATAGACTATTTTTTAATAATCTGTCATTCATTCAGCTACGTGTCAACTTTTTTCACGTTATCAGTCTGTGAGTCACTGGTAAAGTTGAAACTGTGATGAAGAATAAACAGTGCTCATTATAAAATGGATCTTAACGTTTGTCTTAGCCCCCTTATCTCAGCAGCTCAGGGCAGCTTTATGAAGACGGAGAAAATTAAACTAGATCAGCTACAGCACACATTGGCTTGATTTCATTAACCTTGGAAATCAGAACTGTGGAAATGTCACTTCAATAATTTTCTTAGTTCTGCTGCATATTTGAAAAACGTGGGATTTGCAAATTAATGGTAAGCAGTACAAGCTATAAACATATTTTTTAATAGTTTATGGATTCAAAAAATGCTGAAACTCTTTACAAAAGGTAGTAGTAGTATTGATATGATTAACATACAAGCAGCTGTGTTTTATGCTTAGAGCAGCCATTTTTGATTTTGAGGCTGTGGTTAGAGAGCAACATTTCACTTTCCAAGTTACTGACTTAAGAAGGATCTTCTAATTATGTGTTTGGATTTATTATTTGGAACATTAAATCTATAAATACCAGTGGGCCAAGCACAGCCCTTTGGGTTCCATGGTTTTAAGAGATATAGTAGCTGTAATTTAAATGGACCATTTTTTTTTTTATCGTGACTTAATGGACCAGTAGCCTACTTATTGAGCACTTTTATAGGTCAGGTGGACTTCAAAAGCACTTTATATTACATTTAGTCAGTCACCCACTGATGGTGGTAGCTACAGCTGACCTGCGGCAGACTGACACAAGCAGGGCTGCCATACAACGTCACCACCAAGCTCTCAGACCACCTTTCCTGCAATGTTGGTGAAGTTTCTTGCCTAAGAACACAACTAAGACGGACAGAACCTCTGCATATTAAGCCATGTCACCCCACTACATGTGACTGCCAATGCAAAATAAAGAGTTTGAGTAGTTTGCTAATCTGAGGTATATAGGAGTGAATTTCACGTCAAATTCATTCTAAGATCTAAGTGATTCTCAGATTCTTCTGGCCTTGTTTGGAATATATCTGTGGAGATTCTCAGTCATCCAGGTCATGCTCAAGCTTGAAAAAGTACCATTTTCATCCAAACCTTTTTTCCTATCCTCTCCCGGTCACCAGCGTGTCCCCCAAGGCTCCATTCTTGGCCCTACTCTTTCCTCAATTTATATTAATAACATTCCCCAGACAGTTGGTAATTCACTCATTCACTTATATGCTGATAATACAATACTTTACGCCATGGGGTCCTCCCATGATGCTGTTCAGGCTACCCTGCAAGATACCTTTTTCCAACTACAGCAATCCCTCACACATCTCAAACTGATTCTTAATATCTCCAAAACAAAAATCATGTGATTTTACCATAAGCGTAATACGCCTCCTCCTGCCCTTAGCAAGG